ATTTTTTAAGTCATTTTATTCTTGGAAATACTAGCAGAAATTGTTGCTGAAGAAATCCAAGCACTCCAGTAGATATTAAGTATCTTTATTGTGTAGCACATTAATTGTTTGTGTAGTATAGAAATTTAGAATGTGTGAATTACTTTTCTCTTTAAAGTGAATAAGGAGGTTGATGGGTTGGCTCAGTCTGCTGCTGCTCCTGATGACCTGAGTTGGTTCCCTGAGATCCGCAGGTGGAAAAGAGAAAGAAATTCCTGCAAGTTGCCCTCTAACCGCCACAGGAACACTCTGGCATGCATGTACACACACATACACATACACACACACCCACTCCCCCACACAAGCACAGAGTAATTAAGTTTGAATAAGAAAAGGAAAATTGCATCAGGCTTGAAGTATTAGGTGCTATACAGTGTACTATGATTTCCTACTGAAAACAAAGCAGCTAGACCAAAAGAGGTTAACATATTCTATGCAAAATCAGATTCACTTAGCCATACAACCTTTACCTAAAGTAGTTTTTTCCTTTCTTTTCCTTTCTTTTCTTTTCTCTTCTTTTCCTTTCCTTTCTGGTGTGTGTGTGTATACATACACATGTGTGTATATATACACATGAATGTTGGCTGGCTGCACTGTTCTGTAACTCTTCACTCTATTCACTTGAGACAGGGTCTCTCACTGAATCCAAAGTTCCTATTTCCATGAGGCTGACTCCCAGGGTCCTAATACCAGAGTACAGAGACAAACATCCATTTGGCTTTTTTGGTTTGTTTTGTTTTTAAACGTGGGATCTAGAGATTCAACTCAGCTCCTTGAACCATCTTCCCATTCCCTAACATCATTTTTCCATCTGTGGTAACACAAATCAATTGATTATTACCTCCATTAATTCACCCAACACATTTTACTTATGACTTCATTACTCATTACGCCACAGTTTCAGTTCTTCTCACAGGAAAGGGTAAATTTGTCCTTCTTGCTGGGATCCACTTTTTCATATCCTTACACACTGGGCATATTTTTCAGTCAATCAGATCTCCACATTTAGATATAGCATTGCATGCAGTGTGAATATAGCATTGCTAAAGACTAATTCCAGAAAACTGTCATGATTCTTCTTCCTTTCCAGAAAAGTCAGTTTGCAAAACTAGGAACTCCTTCAGAATCTATGATGCCTTCCAAAATTCATGGTGTCTCCTTTGAGAAACCAACTTTGACTCTTATTAACATAGAGACAAAATATTATTAATATATAGGCAAAAGTTGCACAATAAATCTCAGCTCTGGCAAATATGGGGGATTCTGGTAATCTCATTCAGTTCATAGCTGGTGGCAGCAACAATTGATGACGCTTTTGGGGAAGAGACATTGGATATCAAAAACCACAAAAATGTTCATCTGTCTTATATTTCAAATTAACCTGAAAGTTTTTATGAAAAATCATCTCCATCGGATTTTACCATTGTGGGTCTTGGCTGTACCCACAAGCTATATGAGCTCTCACTGAACTATTACAATCTAATTATTTGGAAGGAAGTAGAAAAAGATAAATTGCTTCATTTAGTGAATTAGGACAAAGCTATTTAAATATTGTTTCATACATTATTTATTCATATTGATTGCATATATCAAGTCCCATTCTCAGCAGGATTTCAGTTTGCTTTTTTAAATATATAAGCTTCAAAAGCATTTTAAATGATAAGTTAGTATTATTGTAATGTTGTAGGATGTGGTAAAGTAAAGGATGTAGTCAGAATCAAGCTGAACTTGAAGTTTAGCTCTCAGCAGCAGCAGCAGCAGAAAGTTTATATAGGAGAGAACACTTACAATACAGAAGACAGAAGCAGTTTATATATTGTGAAAACCACTGCCTTGCTGGACACTAAGTCTCAAAAGAAATTCATTTGTCATTGCACTGGGATCAGAGAGACTCAATCACGCCATGGGAATGTGTCCACTTCCTAATCCACACCGAGGCAGAAACAGTGAGCGGGGTTCACTGGGAAGTCAAGTGTCTTATCTTCTTTCTGCCTCTAAGGTACTGAGAATTGCCCATCTCAGTGGGATGAAGAAAGAACCTGCTTTCTCCAGTCCAGACAACCCAGGGAGCTACAGCTTATCATGCCACACACTTAAACTGATAGTGGATTAGAGAGAGAATTATGAAGGGAGTTGTTTTTCTTCCTACTTTAAAGGGAATCAGAAACAAAAGCCTTACTTGAGAGGACATTACCAAGGGAGGCATGAGCATTTAAAAATTGCACAGGTGCTTCAAGTCCTCCTCTGTCTCCTATATCTTTTGAGTTCTTCACAGTCATACCAACAGGCTCTTGACCTTTGCTTTGACTTTGAGTTCTGGAAGCTGTTCTGTGAAGCTCCTAACCAGCTGTGTACACATTCAAGCACGTTAGTCTTCATATGGCCAACAATGTCCAGAAAACATTCTTACTCAACAGCTTGTGAACATAATATCCAACAACCCAGGTGCATGAATCTCTGTTCTCTGAGAGCAATCTTCTGTGCCTCTCCTAAGAGAAAATAATTAGAAACAGTGTTTACTCTCATATCCTATTTCTCTTTGCATAAATCCTGTCCTGCCCTGGAATTTAACTGTCTTTAACATTCTGTAAGAACACATTTTTATTATATTTACATAGTTGCTGCCCAATTGAGCATAGAACAGCCAGTAAATATTTATAGAATGACTAATGTTTCTATATGAAGATACTCAACTCATATAAAGCACAGATTCTGATTTCACATGTTTCATGTAACATGTGGAAAGTAATATTTATTGTAGTTTAGAGTGAGAGAAACTTCTACGTCTATAACTTCATTTAAAAAGAAAGACAAAACAAAAAGCAAAAATCAGACAATTCAATAAAGTAGGAAAGTATCGTTTGACAGTCAGGCAAGATAGTATTTCTTTCTTTATGGAAGGTGATTTTTTTCATTTCCTTGTACCTCCACTGAACTGTATTTCTCTCCTACTTACTAACTCATTTATGTCTCATCATGTCATATCTTGCTCTTTATCTTTGATTCTTTTCTTCCACCTTTATCGTCTCCTGTGGCACCTAGTTGATTCCTCGAATCTCCAAAATTGACAAGGAAATATTGCCTCACACATGGAAAAATCTGAACACACCAGCAGCATGCTGCAAAGTTTATCAGCAGTGGCAATTGCGTCTATCCTTGTGCAAGTCTTATTCAGGTGCCCATAGGTCTTAAAAGAATGCCTGACAGTGCCTGCTGCTGCCTTTCCAGCCTTTGACATGGGATGGAGCAGACACTGATGTTTCTAAAAGTAGCAAAGGAGTGTTAGAACACCACATCCAGCAATAGCCGTGAAATGATGACTGCTGGACCATAAAAATGAGCCATCCTCAAGATATATGATTACACATGTGGCTTTGTTTGTTCAAATACAGCTGACAATTACTATATAATGTATATAATATATATGATAGACTTGTATAAAATAGCATTCTGGCTACCATTTTTAAATTTTTATATTTCCAACTGATTTGAAAAGAAAATATACACTTGAAAATAATTATCCATTGACTGGCTGCAAGTACCACATTTCAGTCTTACCAGTCTCACAGTCATGTAAGGCAATTCCTTAAGGTAATCCCACCCCACTTTTTAATGGATAATTTACATTCATTCCATCACACACACACACACACACACACACACACACACACACACTACCAAACTCAAGTTGCAATAGTTATCATTGTATAAAAATGATGGACATTCAGGAAACACTCTACTTTCTGATCTTGAGCTTGGGTATTTTCAAGGATAGCAGTATGTAGTACTACATTCTCTTGTGGAATTGGTCCACCAGGGAAAACAGATAATACTCACAGAAGTTCATATGACTAAGTGATGATGCTGGGTAAGTCTTTTGCATGACCTGCATTTTAAACCTATGATATGAATAAAGGACATGGTTTATTTTTAATTAAGAACCCTCTATGTGTAGTTTCTGTCACCAAGCAGCCATGTAAACAATAGCCCTATCTGATCATGATGTAGCTTAGGCATGTTTAGACAATACCATGTGGGTTTATGTAAAATATTCTCCAAATGCTCACACCACGATGGAGTCGCTGAATAGCACATTCTCAGAGGCATCCCCACCATTAAGCATTCCACAGCTCTATATAGCATAAAAATACTTGCATACACATGTACCTGTTGGTTTCATTTCTCCTGAAATCTCTAAATATTACACATACCTTGGGGATTAAGATCAAGAATGTGAAATAAAAAGGAATTTGAGAACCAAGAGAAGGCTTACAGGTAAATGAGCTAGCCACATTAACCCAGCAATTTCTGTTCCATACCCAGAACCTCTACAAAGATGTAAGGAGAAAACACAGGTGTGGCTTGACCCATGTGTGCGCATCATGGCACGCACACAGCCGTTCTCCCAGCACATACACGCAACAGCAGTAAGTTTACATTTTTAAAATAAATTTGAGTATGATAATCTAAGAGACCTAGAATGTAGTTTTGTATTCAATAATTGTAATTATATCTAAATAAAATGGAAATAACACTTACATACCCTCTGAGCATATCCCCTTTCCAGCTATTCTCTTCTGACAGAAAAACATGGGAAGGATAAAGAACTCTGGGGTAAATTTGTACTTTAAACTTGATGCTGAAGCAAACATGAACTGTGTGACCTTCTCCCATTTACTCCATCTCTCTGATTTCAGTTTCCTTCTCTTGAGATCTTCGGAGAGTCAGTCTCCAAATGAAATGAGGTCATGAAGTCTTGACCGAACTGTTTATGAAGGACGGGACTGGTTTACATAAGACAGATAAACCACTAGTAAACAAGAAAATCTGTTTCTTTATGTAGCTTCCTCACTTCAAAGGAATATGCAATTTAGGATCTAATACCTCTGCCACATTAAAGGACAAAAAATTGCATAAAGGACAATATTCGTCAAAACAACACCAGGTGCTTAGCAACTAACCTGCAAACAGCAGAGGCTTAGCAGAGGGCACTCACTTCCTGTTCATCTCCGGGTGAGTGGAGGATCCCGGCCGCTCTGCTCTGCTGAGGCACTCATGGACCCAGGCATCTTTGGTCCTTGCCTTGATCTGTGAGTTCTCTTGGTTCTAGCCGACAAGGAAGAAAGGCAGAGACTGCCGAGGCAAGCACACTAGGAAGTTCTTACAGCCTCCTTCTTGCCAGTGACAGTGGTTGTCCCAGCACACATCCCACTGCACAGACAGCCGTGTGTGGCCTCACCTATAAACTGTGTTGCCATGTGTCTAGGGAGGCACAAACAAACATGCCACTGAGCCTGGGCACACATTTGCATCTCAGGATCCAGGAAAGCCTGTAATTGATGCTTCCATTAGTGTTTCAGTCTGTATTCTGCCCTCTGTGTTTTCCATAAAATCCAATTAGCAGAACTTGAGGATGGGAGAAGGCCAGGTATTCCTATGCACCTAAAGTTGAAAGAAAGGTAATTGATAAGAAGAGAGGCAATATTGAGAGGCCAAGAGCACACCAGAAAAAGACAGCTCTCCTCATTCCTCCATTAGGATCTGTGGAGTCTGTACTAAGAGAATTAGAAAGGCCATCTTCTGCATTGGCATGAACTCACAAAGCACTTCGTTCCCCGTTCTTTGAGGTTTATTTTATGTTATGCATGAGTCTTTTACCTGCTTGCCTGACTATGGATCATATGTGAGTAGTCCCAGTGGAGATCAGAAAAGGGTGGTCATCCCCTGGAACTGGAGTTATAGACATTTACAAGCTATCATGCAGGTACTGGAAACTAAACCCAGGTCCTCCACAAGAGCAGTAGGATTCTTAACTAGTTAGTCACCTTGTTGCATATTTGTTTACACTGTGTGAAGATGTGTCGTTGTGATTGGTTTATTAGAAATGAATGGCCAAAAACTGGCCAGGAAAGAAGAGGTGAGACTTCCAGGGAGAGGGAAGAACTGGAAATGAATCTAGGTGTGCACAAGACACCAGTAAGATACAGCACAAGTGGGATATACATAATGGAGGAGAGGTTTAAAAAGGGTCACATGAAAAAATGTAGATTAATAGAAACAGGTTAATTTAAGTTATAACAGCTAGTTGGAAACAAGCCTAAGCAAGGCAAAGCTTTCATAATTAATAATAAGTTTCTGTGTTATTATTTGGGAGCTGGTCGTCCCCAAGAAAGACCAGCTACAGCATCTCTCCAGCTCTATTTTCTAAGCCTTTTAAGTCCTGTACTGAGAAACAACAGTGCCAGTCAGATCTGATGGGATGTTGAGGAGAAATAGCTGCAAATACCCACAGCTGCTGGGGTGGTCATGAGGAGAGGGACCTATCCCTTCTGGTGACACGGTCAAATCTGCCAGAGACAAAAAAGTCAAAAGTAGCAACTTGTGCCTGTTATCCTAGCTCCTCTGGAGACTGAAGCAGGAAGGTGACTTCAGCTTGGGAGTTTAAAAGCACCCTAGATAATGCAGTGAGATTCTGTTTCAGAAGCAACACAAACACACAAAAAGAAAAATATAAATAGCCTCCCTTGCTTACCACATCCTGTCATTTCTTGCAGGCCTTCTTCATGCTGTGTCTGATCTTCCAGACCTTCCTTGTGGCTGGTCTTCTGGGCCTTTCTAATGTATGGTCTTCTCCTGTACCTTCCTTGTGTCTGGTATTCTCCCTGCCTTGTGTCTGGTCTTCTTCTTGACCTTTCTTGTGTCTACAGTCAAGCACGGTGCAGATGTCTTAACCTGACTCCACACACTCACCAAATGCTACCATCCACAGGCAGGGTATCTTCAGGTGAATCAAGTCTATGGCAGTTTCCTCATTGGAGCCTAGCAAAACTCTCAGCTTCCCATTGCAGGTTTACCAAGATGGGAAATGTCCCCTTATTCAGGCTTAACAGGAAGGAGTTTATATCTGCTTTCATGTCAAAGATGAGAACTCTAAAGCTAAATGAACACTGGGGAGCAAGAGGTAAGGGGTAAAGGCAGAGAAAATGTAACAGATGTTGTGGAACCCTGGAGAACTTGTCAGATCTAGACACCACTGGTGGGTTCAAGAAGGAAGGTGTGAGAACACATCAGTCCTCTAGGAGAAAATAGCAAAACAAAACCGTTGTTGGCTTGTCTTTCAGATTTCATAGGTCCTACTCTGTTCTAAGATATTCAGAGGAGCTGAAGCACAATGAGGGACCGACCAGCTCAATGACACTGCAAAAGGACAAACACTAAAACTATGCCTTTCCCTGCTAAAACATCCCACACAGACATGTGTGTGTACATCTGCATGTCTACGTTTGTATGTCTGCATGTGTGGCTGTGTTTCAGTGTGTGTTCGAATGTGTTCATATGTGTGTGTTATTCAGAGGTAAACCTCAGCTGTTGGTCCTTAGACATGTTCCACCCCATTTCTGAAATCTGGTCTCTCACTGTCCTGCAGTTAACCAAGTAGCTAGGTTGACTCACCACTGGGTCTTAGAGATCTGCCTCCCTCCGGTTTTGGCCTCCCTAGCCACAGAATCATAAGCTTGCACCACCACACCCATGTACTAGCTTCATTTTCTGTTGCTGTGATTTAATTTCCTGAGAAGCAAGTTAGGGGAGAAGGGATTATTGTAGAATAGATGCCCAAAAATCCCAGAGGTGGGAATTGGAGACAGCAATTCACATCATAGCCACAGTCAGAAGCAGAGAGATGAATTGCACATGCACTAACTTGATTCTCTACTTGTGCTCAGCTCGTCTTTTCTATTCCTACACAGTTCGGGATTTCCTGTCTAGAAAAATGATGTTGTTCACATCAGCTAACTTAATTAAGACAATTCCCCGCAGAACACCCCGTACCAATCCAGGGTAGAGAATACCTCATTGAAAGTCTCTTTCCAGGTGATTCTCGCTTATGCCAAGTCAACATCTAAAGCTAACCATACTCAGATATTTTATGTGGATTTTAGGAACATAACTAACTCAGATCTTCGTGTTTTTATAGCACCCTTCATCTCCAAGCTATTTCTGGAACCCTGAAGTGAAAATTTTTTAATTAAAAAATTTTATTTTTTGTTTTACAAACCAACCCCATTTCCCCCTCCCTCCCCTTCTGCCATCCTTCCACCTCCACCCTCCCCATCCCTATCGACTCCTCAGAGATGGGAAGACCTTCCTTGGGAATCAACATAGTCAGGAATACACAGTTGAGTGAGGATCAAGACCTTCCCACCTATACGAAGGCCCCCTTGTTTATATGATCCTGGTTCCCTCTCTTCAGCTGAACTCCAGTGTTTGGCTGTGGTCACTGAATCTGCTTTCTTCAGTTACTTGATACAGGTTCTACGATGATAATTAGGCTAATCATTTATCTGACTACAGAGGAAGGAGACATCCTCTCCACTATTGCTAGGAATATTAGCTGGGGTCATCCTTCTAGACTCCTGAGAATTTCTCTAGCATCCCTCTATCAAGATATCACTTTCAGTGCTCTCCCCTCTTCTTCCCCCAACTCTGCCTTCTTGATCCCTCATGTCCTTGATCCCCATCCCCTTTCTTCTACCCCTCTCATAGTTTACCCAGGAGATCTTAACTAATTTCTCTTCCTGGGGCCCTCCATGTGGGTCCCTCTTAGGGTCCCCCTTTTTACATAGCTTCTTAGGAATTGTGGATTGTAGCCTGGTTATCCTTTGCTTTACATCTAGTATCCACATATTTTGTCCTTAGATTAAAAAAAACATCTAATATCCACTTGTGAGTGAATCCATACTGTGTTTATCTTCTGGGTCTGGGTTACCTCAGGATGGTTTTATCTAGTTCCATCCATTTACCTGAAAATTTCAAGGTGTCATTGTTTTTTTACCATTGAATAATACTCCATTATGTAAACATGCCACATATTCTTTATCCATTTTTTGGTTGAGGGACATCTAAGTTGTTTCCAGGCTTTAGCTATTATCAATAATGCTGCTATGAACATAGTTGGTCAAGTATCCTTGTGGTATAATTGTGCATCCTTTGGGTATATGTCCAGCAGTGGTATTGCTAGGTCTTGGGGTAGATTGATTGCAAATTTTCTGAGAAACCACCATACTGATTTCCAAAGTGACTGTACAAGTATGTACTCCTATCAGGTGGAAGAGTGTTCCCCTTACTCTGTATCCTCTACAATGTAACATGTCATCAGTGTTTTTGATCTTAGCCAATCTGACAGATAAAAGATGGCATCTCAGGGTTGTTTCAATTTGCATTTCCCTGATGGCGAAGGATACTGAGTAATTCCTTAAATGTCTTTCAGCCATTTGAGTTTCTTTTGTTGAGAATTGTCTGTTTAGATCTCTACCTCATTTTTAAATTGGGTTATTTGGTATTTTGATGTTTAGTTTCTTGAATTCTTTATATATTTTGGAAAGCATCCCCGTGTCAGATGTGGAGTTGGTGAAGATCTTTCGCAGTTCTGTTAGTTGCCATTTTGTCTTATTGACCATATCATTTGCCTTACAGAAGCTCCTCAGTTTCAGGAGGTCCCATTTATTGATTGTTGCTCTCAGAGTCTGTGCTAGTACTATATTTAGGAAATAGCTTCATCTGCCAATGCATTCAAGGCAACTTCCCACTTTCTCTTCTATCAGCTTCAGTGTAACAGGATTTATGTGGTGGTCTTTGATCAACTTGGACTTGAGCTTTGTGTATGGGTATAGATGTGGATCTATTTGCATTCTTCTACATGCTGACATCCAGTTATGCCAGCACCATTTGTTGAAGATGCTTACTTTTATTTCTTTGTAAAATTTTGGCTTCATTGTCAAAAATCAAGTGTTCATGGGTGTGAGGATTAGTATCAGGGTCTTCAATTCCATGTGTTCTTTATGTAGACACTTAGTGCTGTGGACTTTCCTCTTAACATTGCTCTCATAGTATCCCATAAGTTTGGGTATGCTATGCTTTCATTTTTGCTGATTTATAGGAAACCTTTAATTTCTTTCTTTATTTCTTCCTTGACGCTGTGATGATTCAGTTGAGCATTGTTCAATTTCCATGAGTTTGTAGTCTTTCTGCAACTAGCGTTATTATGAATTCTAACTTTAGGCCATGGTGATCTAATAAAATACAGGGAGTTATTCCAATTTTTTTGTATCTGTTGAGGTTTGTTTTGTTACCAAATATGGAGTCAATTTTAGAGAAGTTTCCATTGGGTGCTTAAAAGAAGGTGTATCCTTTTGTGTTTGGTTAGGGGGTTCTGTAGATGTCTGTTAAGTTCATTTGAGTCATAACTTCAGTTAGTTATTATGTGGTAAGGGGACTTTTTTGTCCAATTTATTTGGTGTTCTGTAAGCTTCTTGTACTTTCATAGGAATAACCTCCTTTTAGGTTGGGAAAGTTTTCTTCTATGATTTGGTTGAATATATATATTTTTGTGCCTTTGAGCTGGAATTCTTTT